AATGTCATTAGTAAAGAATGAATGTCATTAGTAAATTCATTAAAGGTGGGGGGAGACATGAAAAAAATAATGTTCTCGAAATTCCGTTCAAAGATGCCCCTCGAGGAGTTGAACTTGTGAGGGCGATGATTGAGGGTGATTGAGGGTCTTTAGATTTTCAGTTTTTAGAAGTATATGTGCTTTGGGAAAACCCCTCTACATTTCTTCGTGAAAAATAAATCTTAAAATTTCAAAATGTCAAAAGATCTGTATCAAACAAAATTTTGATATCTTTAACTGGAGCCGAAAGCTGGCTAAAATTTAGAAGTTAGGGGCGCTTCTTTCATGTTTTACGTTCTTCAAAATTTCAAATAATGCAACTTTAGGACTTTAGAAAAAGAACACACAGAATTTGGTGAATGTTATTAGTAATGATGATAGAGAATTTGTTACGACTAGCTTACGGTAATTTCGAATTTTCAAAAATTTGACTCGGGTTCATAATAATTTCAAGGATTATAATCAACTCACATCCAGATTCCTCCACAAACAGCGACCAATTGGCGATGTTCAGGTTTCGTATTGAAAGCACATCCGTAGAGTGGGAAATCCTGCCGATTTGCGATGTAGCGGTGATCACGAACGGTTAATCTTCGAACTCTTCCTTGCCAGAGCATTTGTCGAGCTCCATGGCTGCGAAATTGCTCTGCGCTGGGTTCGTTGGGACCTGCAAAATTCTCAACAGTGACCAAAACTAGTCGTGTTTAGGCTCTTTTCAATTGTCCAGCCATGACAAGTCCAAAAATATTAAAATATTCGAAATTGGGACAAAATGTGATGAGTTATAAGAGTTTACATTTTTGGAATATTTTTGAAACATTTTACAAATTTGACCATAACCCCTTTGTTCTTTTTACGAAATTGAAAAAACTTGATTTTTTGTGTTAATCTTACTACGACAATCAAAATGAGCCCAAAAACGACACATTTTGGTCCATTCTGAGATTTTCGACATTTAAAGGCGCATGGACCCCGGAAGTTTCCGGAAGTCTTCAAAATCATCCAAAACTAATCGTGTTTAGGCTCATTTTGATTGGTTAGCCAAGATAAATCTAAAAATGTAAGTCTATTTAAGTTTGAAGCAGAATTGGTAAAGTTGAAAGGGTTTGGAATTTTCGGAAATGTTTTAACAAATTTCAAATTTGGCTATAACTTCTTTAATTTTGTCGCAAACTTGATGAATCTTAATGTACTGTGTTTATCTTATTGCGACAACCAAAATGAGCCCAAACACAACCTATTTTGGTCAATTTTGAAAATTGCAATATTTAAAGGCGCATGGATCCGGAAAATTTCGAAAATTTTCAAAATCATCCTAAATAAGTCGTGTTTGGGCTCATTTTAAATATCTTTTCAAACTGAATTTAAAAATATAAAAATCGAAAAAAAAATTCAGAAAATGGTCCGAGTTATGATATTTCGAAAATTTGACAAAAAATTTCATCGAAATGTATTTTCCCAAAATCTCACAAAACAGGTTTCTAACGAAATTTGTGCCTAGAAATTTGTTTCTCGTATGTTCCAAACTTTAAAATGAGCCTAAACACGACCTATTTCGGATAATTTTGAAATTTTCGATTTTAAAGGCGCATGGACCCGCAAAATTTCAGAATTTCTCAAAATCATCCAAAACTAGTCGTGTTTGGGACCATTTTGATTGTCTAACCATGACAAACTCAAAAATTATAAACTATTCGAAATTACGACAAAAACTCAAAAGGTACTGGAGTTTGAATTTTTGGAATATTTAGAAAATTCTTAAAAGTCGCTCATAATTTCCTTTATTGTCTTCCAAAATTGATGAAACCCATTTTTCTGTGTTTATCTCTTTGTGAAAATTGAATTGAGCCTAAACACAACCTATTTCTGACAAGTTTGAAATTTTCGACATTTAAAGGCGCATGGACCACGAAAATTCAGAAAGTTCTCAAAATCATCCAAAACTAGTCGTGTTTGAGCTCATTTTGAAGCACTTGACATGAAAAACTCGAAAAAAATTAACACTTATCAGCTAGAATGAAAATTGACAATGTTATAAGAGTTTCAAAATGTTGGCAATTTTGCAAAAAATTTCAATTTCACTCATAATGTTTTAAATTGACTTCCAAAATCACAATACCATATGTTTCTGTGTTTATCTCATTGCGACAATTAAAATGAGCCTAAACACGACCTATTTCTGACAAGTTTCAAATTTTCGATATTTAAAGGCGCATGGACCACGAAAATTCAGTAAGTTCTCAAAATCATCCAAAACTAGTCGTGTTTGGGCTCATTTTGATTGTCTTAACATGGCAAATTCGAAAATGTTGAAAGTTTTGAGTTTGGAGAGATTTTGGACCAAAAATAGAATTTCAGAATCGATCTTTCGGGATTTTGAAGTCTAAATGATAAAAACTTACATTTTCAGGAAAAATCAAAGATAATAGAAATTGTGGACCCGTACACACGGGGTCTCAGAATAACTAGGAATACTCAGAAAAATAAAGAAAAAAGGTCCCAAAAATCAGTTAGGGTCCATTGGAAGACTGATGAATATTATGAGCTACTCGAGCCCTTTTATACCAGGTGGGCGGAGCTTAGAGAGGGATAGAGAGACGCAGAGAATACAGACAGCGAACACATAAAAGGGCAGGTAAATGGCGGTGAAGGATGGTGTCGGTACCCCGACAAAAGGGGCAGAGAGACGCAGAGAGAGAGATTGTCACCTTTATGTCCGAGGGACCCCCTTTGATGGGTGCCAACGTTTTCCGACACATTCAAAGTTCAAAATATAAAAAAAAGTTTGGAAAATTCTCAAAAAAATGCAAAATCTGACCAAATTCAAGTCTCAAAAAAGAATCGAAACTGAGAAAAATTTTGAGTTTGAAACTTGTTGAAAACATTCTCAAAGTTTCCAAACCCTTCTAGCTTTGTCAATTTGGTCCAAAGTTTGAGAATTTACACATTTTCAAACTTTTCAAAACAGGGCAATCAAAATGAGCCCAAACACGACTTATTTAGGATGATTTTGAGAATTTTCGAAATTTTCCGGGTCCATGCGCCTTTAAATATTGAAATTTTCAAAATTGACCGAAATAGGTCGTTTTTGGGCTCATTTTGATTGTTCAAAACAACCAAGTCCAAAAATCTACAAATATCTGGTTTTGGAGAAAAATTGAGAAAGTTACAAGAATTTGAAATTTTTGGAATATTTTCGAAAAATTCAAATTAGCGCACAATTCCCTTCATTGACCCCCGAAACGTGATAAAACTTGTTTTTTCTGTGTTCGTCTCTTCAAGGCAATTAAAATGAGCCTAAACAAGACCTATTTCTGACAAGTTTGAAATTTTCGCCATTCAAAGGCGCATGGACCCAAGAAGTTTCGAAAAACTTGAAAAACACCCAAAACTAGTAGTGTTTAGGCTCATTTTGAAACTCCTAACATGAAAAACCTAAAAAAGTAAAAATTTATCAGCTAGAATGAAAATTGACAATGTTATAAGGGTTTCAAAATGTTGCCAATTTTGCAAAAAATTTCAATTTCACTCATAATGTTTTAAATTGACTTCCAAAATTACAATACCATATGTTTCTGTGTTTATCTCATTGCGAAAATTAAAATGAGCCTAAACACGACCTATTTCTGACAAGTTTGAAATTTGTTTGAAATTTATGTGTAAATTCTCAAACTTTGGACTAAATTGACAAAGCTAGAAGGGTTTGGAAACTTTGAGAATGTTTTCAACAAGTTTCAAACTCAAAATTTTTCTCAGTTTCGATTCTTTTTTGAGACTTGAATTTGGTCAGATTTTGCATTTTTTTGAGAATTTTCCAAACTTTTTTTTATATTTTGAACTTTGAATGTGTCGGAAAACGTCGGCACTCATCAAAGGGGGTCCCTCGGACATAAAGGTGACAATCTCTCTCTCTGCTTCTCTCTGCCCCTTTTGTCGGGGTACCGACACCATCCTTCACCGCCCTTTAACCTGCCCTTTTATGTGTTCGCTGTCTGTATTCTCTGCGTCTCTCTATCCCTCTCTAAGCTCCGCCCACCTGGTATAAAAGGGCTCGAGTAGCTCATAATATTCATCAGTCTTCCAATGGACCCTAACTGATTTTTGGGACCTTTTTTCTTTATTTTTCTGAGTATTCCTAGTTATTCTGAGACCCCGTGTGTACGGGTCCACAATTTCTATTATCTTTGATTTTTCCTGAAAATGTAAGTTTTTATCATTTAGACTTCAAAATCCCGAAAGATCGATTCTGAAATTCTATTTTTGGTCCAAAATCTCTCCAAACTCAAATATTTTGACATTTTTGAATTTGCCTTGTTGAGACAATCAAAATGAGCCCAAACACGACTAGTTTTGGATGATTTTGAGAATTTTCGAAATTTCCCGGGTCCATGCGCCTTTAAATGTCGAAAATTTCAAAATTGTCAGAAATAGGTTGTGTTTAGGCTCATTTTAATTGTCGCAATGAGAAAACACAGAAAAATATGGTATTGTGGTTTTGGAAGTCAATTTAAAACATTATGAGTGAAATTGACGTTTTTTGAAAAATTGCCAAAATTTTGAAACTCTTATAACATTGTCAATTTTTATTCTAGCTGATAAGTTTTAATTTTTTTTGAGTTTTCATGTCAACTGCTTCAAATGAGCTCAAACATTCACGCCAATTCGCGAAGCTCTCCGAAATTCTTTATATAGAAGCGTACGAATGCATGAAGAAAGAAATCGATTATATGTTTGCTGAACTGAAATTCGAGGGTGCTGGAGCCCGTCGGCGGTTCTCGTTTTCAGAGGATGTGGTCATCAAGCGCGTAAGTTGTTTTTTTTTTCAATTGAACCTCCATCTCATGTCCATTCTTGCAGTGCCGCATAGAATCACTTATAATCAAAAACCGATATTATGATTACTGGACAGATCTGTTCCGCGCCAGACGAGAAAATCGTGAAATAAAGGATTTCGACATAGATCCACGTCTAATGATTATGTTATGTCAAAGCAGGGAACGAGTTGGCAAAAGGAATGCAGAACGTCAAGCAAAATTGGACTCATCTGAAAAATTGGAGAGAAATTTCAACTGCAAGAATCCACAAAAATTCTGGAAGACTTCTGTTCAGAAAGAATCGGATCAAAAGTCTCCAGCCGCTGTTGAACCATGATGAATTCATCTAACAATCTTGTCTTCCGTCCGAAAGTGGAAGTATAGTTTTGTAATTAAAAACCAGAAAAAAACACTACACCGACGAAAAAATGTTTTTTTTTCTGACCGTAATTTCCTCACTCGTTTGCTGCAGCGGCGTCGCTTCATAAGACAAATCAACGCGGTCGTCGCCTCTCACACGTGTGGTGTAGTGGGTACGCTCTAGGTTAGCATTCAGAAGGTGGGAGATTCAATCCCCGTTGATGGTTCCCTTTTTTTCTTAGCTTGTATCTTTTGGATTCAACGTTTGGAACTCAAAATTTTTGGAATGGGAATTTTCGGAACGTCAGCGTGCCGTCAAAGCCTAGCTACGAGATAAGAAACACTGTTGAAAATAATATATGCAGTTTATTATGTCAACAAATAAATTATGCAAAAAATACATTAAATATTTAGTAAGAACACAAACAATTCAAAAAATCGTAAAATTATAATTTTTCTTCCCGGAATCGGTCCTGGTCATCAAACCAGGCTTCGTTCTGATCTTACGTGGTTCTAACAGTCCTTCGAGTCCATTGGGCCCATCGAGATATTCAGAAAAATCAAAAAAAAAACCGAGACTTTTCTGTGCATTCTCCTCCTCCCTTTGGCGTTGCAGGTTTTGCATGTATGTGTAGTTTCTGGATCGTTCCGCTCTTTCTGCCCTCGGAGTGCTCTGACTGCTTGACCCTTGCTGACTTGATTGAGCCGGAGCCTTTCCTTCCTTGCCAGTTTGTTCATTTTTCTTTTCCGGAGCTCCATCATTGAGATTTTGAGCATCAGAGCAGACCGAATCCATCGTTTTCTGAGCACTTTGGTTTTGGACCTCTTCTGCTATTGTGCCTTCCACTTTCGGACGGAAGACAAGATTGTTAGATGAATTCATCATTGGTTCAACAGCGGCTGGAGACTTTTGATCCGATTCTTTCTGAACAGAAGTCTTCCAGAATTTTTGTGGATTCTTGCAGTTGAAATTTCTCTCCAATTTTTCAGATGAGTCCAATTTTGCTTGACGTTCTGCATTCCTTTTGCCAACTCGTTCCCTGCTTTGACATAACATAATCATTAGACGTGGATCTATGTCGAAATCCTTTATTTCACGATTTTCTCGTCTGGCGCGGAACAGATCTGTCCAGTAATCATAATATCGGTTTTTGATTATAAGTGATTCTATGCGGCACTGCAAGAATGGACATGAGATGGAGGTTCAATTGAAAAAAAAAACAACTTACGCGCTTGATGACCACATCCTCTGAAAACGAGGATCACAATGATCCCAAACACAACTAGTTTTGGATGATTTTGAGAAATGCCGAAATTTTCGGGTCCATGCGCCTTTAAATATTGCAATTTTCAAAATTGACCAAAATAGGTCGTGTTTAGGCTCATTTTGATTGTCACAATGAGAGAAACACAGAAAAATAAGCTTCATTAATTTTGGAAGACAATAAAGGAAATTATGAGCGACTTTCCCCTCCTCTGAAAACGAGAACCGCCGACGGGCTCCAGCACCCTCGAATTTCAGTTCAGCAAACATATAATCGATTTCTTTCTTCATGCATTCGTACGCTTCTATATAAAGAGTTTCGCAGAGCTTCGCGAATTGGCGTGAATCAACTGCTTTATTGATAGCTTCTTTCATGTTGTCATCCATCTTGACCCGGAACTCGTCGATGGCGCTGGCGTGAACATCAGCCAAAACACAGTCTTTGTACACACACTCCATCCGCGCTTTTTTCTTGTATTTCAAATATCTTGTCGTGTCGTTTCCATCGATTTCTGGTCCTCTCTGTCTCTTCATATGGTATTAAGAATCGGTGGCAGAAGATAAGATGCTTCATCTCTTCGTCGAGAGCTTCTCGAGTGTGTTCGGCGTACATATCGAAGAATTTGCGACTCTCTTCGAAACACTGAAATAGAGACATAAAACAAATTTGGTTTTTTTGAATTTTCAGCACCATGGAACAAAAACTTACTCGTTTGTAAATGACTCGTTTCACCTCCTTCAAACGATCATAACGATATTTAGTCCCGACCGGCTCGAATCCCGAATCTATTGCATATTCCATTATTATTCTTGTGCTGTAACAAGTGCTGTCGAACAGAGTAAGTCGTGCTCCTCAACAACTTTTCTGGATTTAAAATCAATATTTGCAGTCTTAAAGAAGGCTTTTGGGGTTCGGTTTGGAGGATACCAAAGAGGACAATGATGAGATCTACATTGTTGGAAGAGCCGTCGTCAACGTCAACCATCAGGAAGAACAGCTCTACAACCCATCTGCCAGCCTATTGGATCTCAAGCCGTCATCGACAGCCATAAAGCCTTGGCGAGTATAAAGGTCCAATAAAGCATCAGATCGAGTTGCAAGAAGGAGCTGACGTCCCACCAGCGAAGATCTGTAAACTCCCATTGGAGGGAGCCTCTTAGATGAGAGGCCCTCCCGCGGACATGTCTCGTGTTGTCCTAACATTTTGGGCCACGACCAGTCCAATTGTGTCTGTATTGATCTCCTCCAATGTCATTTGCATTTTCCTGACTTGACCACTGAGCTTTGCTTGTTCCTCGATCACATTGTCCATCAGACGTCAAAGTGTCCAAGTTGATATCGATGTGGAGGTCAGGAATTTTACACAAGCTTGGACTTTCAATCGGGCTTCCATCAAATCTTTGTCGAGCCGGAACAGTGCATCAGGTTACTTAGGGGTCCTTCAGTCCATCAAGATATTCAGAAAAATCAATAAAAGAGAGACCAGCAATCGGCCGGTAATGTGTCGAGCCATTCTCTAGCCAAAA